AATACATCTCCACTTAGGTGTTAAGAGATCTGGCAATTTTGTTCTTTTTTTTTTAAAAAAAGTTTCTCCGGTAAGAGTTTCATGGCTCTCCTCTTCTTCCTCCCTCTTTGCCTATCAAAAAATATTTTTTGAGCACCCTCTACAAGTCAGGAATTTTCTAGGCACTGGAGAATGAGGTCCTTGTGTTCACATGTACCATGGTTAGGCTCTGATCCTCTTTGGCTTGTTGAAGGTCTGTTCCATCAAACAGCATTTTCTAAGCCTTCATCTTACCTGAGTGTGTGTATATATATACACATATGTATATATAAAATATGTATGCATGTACATATGTATATATGTATATGCATGATAGGTTGCAAAGGACGTTGGTAGAAGTCACCTTCTACCTAGAAGTCTGAGTTTACAGTTTACAAGTCACCATATTACTATCGAAGAGTAGAAAATGTCCAAAGAAAACAAAAAAATGCTATGCCAGCAGCTTTGCTTCCCAAAAGCCCATCTCTTTCTGACTTTCCTTCAGGAGGCATGAGATTTAGTTACCAGGTACAATTTCCTTCTTCACCTTCCCTAAGGAAGGGTGTCTTGGTGACACTTGACAGCTGGGCAATGAGTTCAATTCAGCCAGAGAAAACAGACCTAGCTAGCAAGTTGTCTGGTGTCCAATAGAAAGATGATCTTCTTTTCTTTAAAATCTTTTTGCCAGTTTGTTATCTTGGGACGTTCTGGAATCCACTTATCTACAACTGAAATTTCCTTCAAGAATAAATATGATAGAATTCTTTCTCATCCCTCTGTGGTCATCATCCCTTAATCAATAATAAAACTTTCAGAAATAGCATCAAAGGCCATGGCGACCTCATTCATTCAGAATGCATGATGCTTTTTCATTGCACTCAGAGGAGGTTCTTACTACAATAGCATGAGAATATCCTTGTTAGACGAGGGCTGGAATCTGGGTTTGTGCTGTTCTCAGCATCCTGAGAACTTGAAAGCTCCAACTCCACTCAAAGTGAAATCATAATATTCTGAAAGAATTTTGGACATAAACTAGGGTAAACTTGGATAACAAGAATCAGCCCTTGTTTGTGGCTGAAACAGAGACACGCTATTGTCACTGCTTGGGTTTTTAGAAAACTAAATTCCTGATAGATTGAAATTTGGCCCCCAGCTTGCTCTGTGATTTCTTTCAGAGTAGTCCCATGCAGTGGACAATCTTATTTATTTTCTTGCAAAACCTCTCATTTGAAATTTCAGAGTTGGAAAGTATCTTACAGGTCATTTGTTCTTATCTTCACCCCTCCCAAATTCAACACTTGTGTCTCCTAAAAGACCAACTATGGTGACAAATAACTCACTAGTTTGTGATACTTTAAAAATGCCTGGCACTGGTGTATGCAATGAGATTTGTACAGATAATTGATGGAGGAATGAAAAGATGCACCCAGTAGCCCAAGTGCCAGGGGCCAGCTCAAGGTGTGGGAGGTATTTACCAGAACTGGCTGGTTATATCCATGGCTTCACCATGACAATTAGAGAGAATTAGAAGAATAAAATCACTTTCTTTTTAGCTGAAGTTCCTAGTTAAGCACGTGGATGTTGCTTGCTGCCATTTTTCTGTCACCCTTGTTTCTTGAACGCGCCTATACAATTCATGCCACTTCTGAAATCTACACTTCGTAGTCATTATTTTAAAAATAACAGTATTTCCTTTTCCATATGCACTGAGAGCTGAATAATTAATTTGTTTACTATTTAACACATGCCTATTATCTACAAGATACTCAAAAACAAATGAAATCAAACACCTTAGTTGGCTTCCCATCTGTAAGAGATATACGAGGAAAGATACTACATTAAACTCTCTCTGAAGGGAATTTCGTCAATTGTTTCAAAAAATTGTAAAAGTGTTAATACCTGGCCAGGTGTGGTGGCTCATGCCTGTAATCCCAGCACTGTGGGAGGGTGAGGCTGGAGGATTATTTGAGCCCAGGAGTTTGAGACTAGCTTGGGCAATATAGTGAGACCATGACCCTACCAAAAAAAAAAAAAAATTAGCCCGGGAGGATGGCACACACCTGCAGCCCCCGCTACTTGGGAGGCTGAGGCAGGAGGCTCGCTTGAGCCCAGGAAGCCAAAGTTGCAGTGAGCTGTGATTGCATTACAGATTGAGTGGCAGAGTGAGACCCTGTCTCCAAAATAAAAACAAACAAACAAACAAACATACTCTTTATTCTTCTAGCAATTCATCCTAAAAATATGGATTATAATAACAAAAACTGGAAATAATGAGTTTATCACTAATAATAATAATGGGAAATTGGATCCAAATGCCCAATATGAGCTGTCCAGGTAATGAACAGTAGCTTGCTCTAACAAATCATCCAAGACCTCAGTGACTTAACACAGTAACTGCTTATTGTTTTGCTCATGATACAGTTGGAGGTGGATGGTTTGGCAGCCTTCCACTCGGTGGTTTAAGGATCCTAGCTCATTCTGTCTTGTAGTCCTACTCTCTTTTAGAACCCCAAATTCTTCCTCTAGATCCCCTGAATTCATCCAAGTGATGAATAAAGAGAAAGAGCAAACAGGAATGCCCGGGTAGGTAATGGGCTGGATATGGCTTGAATCATTCGGACCACATTCTTTGGCCAGAACCTGGTTATACGACCACAGCTATCTTTAAGGACAGTTAGAATCCTTACAGCCGGGAAGTATAACCCTTCGCTAAGACCAAGAAGAGGAGACAGGATTGGTGAGTATCTAGCTGATCTCCGGCATAGCCCCAGATTGGCTAAACACTTAGGCTATGATCCTGACTTGGTAAAAAATAACGTATTTGCAAATAAAAATCCTATTACGTTGGTACAAAAGTAATTGCGGTTTTTGCCATGGAAAGCAATGGCCAAAATCGCGATTACTTTTGCATTAACCTAATGGAAGCCATACATCAGTGCTTCTTCCTGAAAGGTGGGATGCTAAGGATCTTCCTTTTCTATACTGCGCTTTTTAATATTCCTGGGGTCCGGAGTAGGGTATGGATTGGGAGATGTTGATCAAAGGGTATAAAGTTTTACTTTGGTTGAATAAATTCTAGAGACCTATTGTATAGCATGATGACTCTAGATAACGATGCGTTGTATACTTGAAAATTGCTAAGAGATCTTAAATATTCTCACATAAAAAAAAGCATATGAAGTGATGGATATGTTAATTGCTTGATTTAATCATTTCAAAATGTATGATGTATATCAAAACATCATGTTGTATACCATAAATATATACAATTTGCATTTCTCAATTATATTTTAATTAAGCTGGAGAAAAAGTAACTTTACTTTAGAATAGGCCCCTCTAATAGAAATATAATGCAAATAACACAGGCAATTTTAATTTTGTTATTTTTCATTTTCATTTTAGCTTTTGATATATTAATTTTTATTGGTTACATGTTGAAATGATATTTGGGATATATTATGTTAAAATGTGTATTAAAAATAATATCACTTGGTTCTTATATTTTTACAAGTGTAGCCTCAGAGAATGAGAAGCAGCCTGAGGTAGACTCGCTAACAGTCAGAAGGACATCCTCACAGGAGGATGTCTCAGATGTGTGGGAGGCAGGAAAAACTCTTATGAAGGAGGTGGCTTTGGGATTGGGCCTTGAAAGATGTTATCAGTACAGGAGTTCCCCCTTATCCGCGGTTTTGCTCTCCGCAGTTTCAGTTACCTGTGGTCAACCATGGTCTGAAAATATTAAATGGAAATTCAAGAAATAAACAACTCACTAGTTTAAATTGTGTGCCATTCTGAGTTCCCTGAGGAACTCTCTTGCCGTCCTGCCCCATCCCTTCTTCATCACAAAAAGGAAAAGGGTGAGTACAGTACAGTAAGATATTTTGGGCCGGTGCAGTGGCTCACGCTTGTAATCCCAGCACTTTGGGAGGCCGAGGCAGGCGGATTACTTGATGTCAGGAGTTCAAGACCAGCCTGGCCAACTTGGTGAAACCCCGTCTCTACTAAAAAATGAATTAAAATAAATTAGCTGGGTGTGGTGGCGTGTGCCTGTAATCCCAGCTACTGGGGAGACTGAGGCAGGAGAATCGCTTGAACCTGGGAGGCGGAGATTGCAGTGAGCTGAGATCGCACCACTGCACTCCAGCCTGGGCGACAGAGCGAGACTCCATCTCAAAAAAAAAAAAAAAAAAAAAGATATTTTGAGAGAAAGGGACCACAAGTATGTAACTTTTATTGTAGTATATTGTTATAATTATTCTCTTTCATTATTACTTATCCTTGTTAATCTCTTATTGTGCCTAATTCATAAATTAAACTTTACCATAGGTATGTATGTACAGGAAAAAAATCACAGACATAGCGTTTGGTACTATTCGCGGTATCAGGCACCCACTGGGGGTCTTGAAACATATCCCCCTCGGATAAAGAGGGATTACTGTAATACTATTGATGACCGCAATATCGGCAACACCCACTGTTTATCACAAGCTTGCCACTCGTCGGTCACCCTGCTAACCGCCAGGGGTCGGTAGCGAGGCGGAGATGGACTTTCTGAATGCGGGAACAACAGCAGTAGCTGCAAAAGCAGAGACCTGCACAAAGGACTATGTACACTTGGAAGTATTTGGGGTGGAGTGGGAGGTAGGGGACAGGAACCATAAGGTGTTAAACTCTTACGAAGTAGAAGAAAAGGCAGGGGGCAAGTTGGAGTCAAGTTTAGAAGCATCTTAAATAGGAAGGGAAAAACTTTATATCTAGTTCCGTGAGAAAATGTGGTGATAACAAAACACTCTGGAAGCGCTTTGTGATAACGTGCTGTTCCAGTGTCCAACACGCACTGACTCACTATGAGAGAGGTACTAATAGTCACGTGAGGTTTCACCACCGGGAAGCGTCCTGACACGTGCATGTTAGGCAATTTCAATGCCTTGTGAACGTCATAGAGTGGATTTACACAAACCTGGATGGCAGAGCCCACCACACCCCTGGGCTGTGTGGCATAGCCTGTTGCTCCTTGGCTACAAACTGGAACAGGGTGATACTGTACTCAATACTGTAGGCAGATGTAACACAATGGTAGGTATTTGTGTATCTAAATATAGAAAAAGCACAGTAAGCCGGGCGCGGTGGCTCAAGCCTGTAATCCTAGCACTTTGGGAGGCCAAGAAGGGCGGATCACGAGGTCAGGAGATCGAGACCATCCTGGCTAACACGGTGAAACCCCGTCTCTACTAAAAATACAAAAAAAATTAGCCGGGCGAGGTGGCGGGCGCCTGTAGTCCCAGCTACTCGGGAGACTGAGGCAGGAGAATGGCGTAAACCCGGGAGGTGGAGCTTGCAGTGAGCTGAGATCCGGCCACTGCACTCCAGCCTGGGCGACAGAGCGAGACTCCGTCTCAAAAAAAAAAAAAAAAAAAACAAAACAGTAAAATACAGTAGCAAAGCTTTAAAACAATGGTAAGTGTATGGGGCACTTACCATGACTGGAGCCTGCAGGACTGGAGGTTGCTCTGGGTCCGTGACTGAGTGAGTGGTGGGTGAATGTGAAGGCCTGGGCATGACTGTGCACTATCGTAAGCTTTAGAAACATTGCACACTTAGGCTACGCTGAGGTTATAAAGTATCTTTTTCTTTCTTCAATAATAAATTAACCTTAGCTTACTGTAGCTTTTTTGCTTTATAAACTTTTTAGTTTGGACTCATTTGTAATAACACTTAGCTTAAAACACAAATACATTGTATAAGTGTACAAAAATATTTTTCCTTATATTCTTATCCTACAAGCTTTTTTCTATTTTTAAATGTGCTTATTTATTTACTTCCTTTTTATATCACTGCCTTCCACACCCACATCTCATCCCATTGGAAGGTCTTCAGGGGCTAGAACGCCCATGGAGCTGTCATCTCCTGTGGTAACAGTGCCTTTTTCTAGAATGCCTCCTAGAGGACCTGCCTGAGGGTGTTTACAGGTAACTTTTTAAACCATAAGTAGAGCACACTCATTAATAACAATCAAAAGGATGGTATAGAAAATGCATAAACTAATAACAGTCTTGATTATCATCATCATGTATTGTGTACTGTACATAATTGTATGCACTATACTTTTACATGACCAGCAGCGCAGTAGGTTTGTTTACAGGAACATCACCACAAACGTGTGAGTAATGCCTTGTGCTACAGCAGTACGACAGTTATGATATCACTAGTTGATAGGAATTTTTCAGCTCCATTATAATATTATAAGACCACCATCATATATGCAGTCCGTCATTGACCAAAACATCATTATTATCTCTATTATCCCCATTTTACAGATGAGGAAACAGGTATAGAGAATTTAGGAAGCTTCCCAATGTTAAACAGTGTGTGACAAAGCCCAGATTTCAACTCCAGTATTTCTGGCTCCAAAATCTACCTCTTAATCACTCACAAAGACTGCACCATTCGGAACCAGAGACCTGGATTCTCATCCTAGGCTCTGCACTCACTCACTGGGAGACTTGAAGTCCTTCTCTGAGTCTCTGGTACCCTCAGCTTCCTCCTCCATCCATTGAAAATGGTTCACACCTTGTTGATCTTAAGGTGTCACTGTGTGGATGGAATGACACTGGGCACATAAAGCATGAGTTATACTGCCTGGCACAGAGCAGATGATGCCCATAAAAGCTGGCTGCCCCCCAAAATGCCATTGGAAGTCATTTTGGGCCTTTAAGTGGGGCAATGAGATGATCGGACTTATACTTTTACATGCATGTTGGAAATACTCATCTTCCCTGATTAATCTGCCAGAGATTGATTGCAGCTGGGAGAAATGTGTTACAAAGATGTTGCAAGAATCCAGAGAAGAGGCAGTGAGGGTCTGAGCAGGGACAGAGGCAGGGAGAAAGCAACGGTATTATTGAATCTAAGATTTTAGAGCGAAACAGGCACTATGGGCCGTATAGTACAAACTATCCTCATTTTATAGAACAAAGGGGCCCCTACCCAGACTTAAAGGACTTGTCCAAGGAGAAGCTGTGGGACTAGTCCAGGGCTTCTAATTTCCTGATTCACTGATTTTTCCTAAACTCAACCAGTGCTGATGTCTCACTAGAGTTTTCAACTCTTAATAAAAATAACAAAGTGTATCTATTTTATGTAAATCATATACTTTCTACTCTTCAATAGCTTCCATGGACATTAATCTCATTTGATTTTGCCAATGACAATTCTCCTCCACCGCCAAAGGAAGGTAGCACACTGGAGTTAGAATTATCCTACACCACAGATAGGTAAACTAAGGCATGGAAGATGATTCTAATTTCTGGCTCAAATTCTCTCATCTTTACTTCTACATTAATTCTTTAAATTTTGTTTTTTAAGTGTTATCACAATGTTGATACAAGAATGGTATTCACAGAATTTCGTCCTGAACAAAATTTCATAGGGGCAGAGAGGTTTTAAAAATGTACCTTCATTTAGAAAGGTTAATGGGTGGGGTTTACTTGAAATTATGTCCAAAGAAAGACTTTGATCACAGGATACTGTGATCAGTGGGAAATTGTATGTTTGTAGTTGTTCCGTTTTAATTATGGTGAATGAAAGTATATCTTGCTTAGAAAGTATGCTGAGATGCTATCTCTTTCTATTCCTTCCAGAGGAAAGAAATCAAATCGTATGTTTATAGAATTTGTTTTCTTGTCTGTGGCCAATTGCTAAATCCTACCACAGGGGGGCGCAGGAAATGTTAGGCGCGTTTCACAAAACGGACACTAGGTGGCGCCGCTCTGCTAGTTTTCTTCATGTCTGCTTTTAATTTCGTTTTTATTCTTTTGTTTAGTAGTAATTGAAATGGTTAGCTTTAGCGATATAAAATGTATTTTTATTTTCCCATGCTTTTCTTAATATGTCTGGGTCTGTCATTTTGGCTTTATAAAAGCACGCTAAGAGAAGTAGAACCAGTTATTTATGTTAATATGTTTTCTTTACATTACATAAAATAGTTGTATTTTCTTTCACAGTATTTTTCAGGAATTCAAATATAAGCCTAGATTGAGTTTTCCATTTTGGTCTGTCATTGTCTCTTATTCTTTAGAGTTTTATTGGAAATTACATATTAGTTTGATTTTAAAAGAGGAGACATAATTCTGAATCGTATCAGAACAGCAAAAATCTAACAAAACTTAAAAGCGGAAGAGAAAAATAGGTATCAATAAAGGAGCTGGGAATGGATTCTCCTATTTAAATTTGCATAAGGAAGAGTTTCTCCCAGCCTTATTAATTATTTAGTGAACTAGTTGTGTGTCTGTGAGTTATGCCTCTCTCTGGAGTTTGGATTCCTAATTATAAAAACGAGGCGATTCCTCTAAATGTTTCAAAGATCTCTTTGCAATCTGAAAAGTAGTGAGATTATGGGTATATTAACAAACTTATGCCCCCTGCCTGTTCCAAACACAATTCTTGAACATATATGCATAAACCGTGACTTTTCAAAAAAAATCTAGATAATTCTCAGTGGCATAAAATATGCAGTTATGAGCCCCAGCCAACTTTTCAATGCATGTTACTCGACTGGCGTTCTTGTGAGAATGAAGTCTGAACACGGAGGAATAAGTCGCCTGCCCTGGGAGAATCGTGTCCCTGGAGCAGAACTTGCTGGCTCCATCCCTGACTAGCTGGGAGACACTGACCTGTCAATTAGCAACGGCAGTGAGCTCCACAGCAGACCCCATGAGGAAGATGTGGAGAAGAAAAAGGCCAGGCCCTGTACCCCAAAATCTATGAGGGGCACAAGTTGTCCTGTCTTGGGAGGTTAGTAATACCGGGGAATACGTGCCAAATGATATCGGATCTGTGTTCCTGACCTGACCCCTGCCCAAACCATTGCCCACAGCTGTGATCCTGAGAAGCGGTGCTAAGCCATCACTGGGCACTGGCTGGGTCTGGGTGGAAATCATCGAATTAGGGTAGAGAAGACCAGACGAAGGCTGGAGAGAGATATTCATACAATTGTTTAACATTCTTTGCCAAGTGGTAGCAAATGTTAGACATCATGATCAAAGGTGTTATGTTTTCTGTTGAACAAAAGAAAGTGGCAAAGCTGTAAATACATCAGGTTCACATAGATGTTCACTAGCCTGGAAGCAAATAATAAAAGTCCTCAAGACATGCCCTCCTTGATGAAGTCCACTGGAGCTGGTAAAACGTCGAATGTGAGCTCATCAAACCAAACGATGCATATGGAACCCTTTTAAATGCCTGTGTTGGCGACACAGGGCTCTTTCTAACCTCTTATAAAATAGAAACAGTTGCACACTTTAGTGCGTGGTACATGGACTGATCACCAAGACTAAATGAGTTGCTGAAAACCGTGAAGACTGTTAATGTTACAAAAACAGTACACACTTGGAATAATTTTGTCCCTACTGTCATATGGGCTGAACCTGGTAAAAATGTGGTGGGCCTTTCAGAGCCCCAGTGCACTTCCTGGTGATGTGGCCAGCAGAGCCCCCGCTCTTCTGGGCTAGGGTTGTGCGTGGGCTTTGGGGAAGGAGATTGGAAGTGAGTGATATAGAACCTGAGTTTGGAAGCTGAGGCACTGAAATGAGGGAAAGGGTGGGGGATGCACCAGCAGCCACTGAGATGCAAAAGCTCATGAACCAAATCTTTGGGTTTTTTTTTTTTTTTTCTTTGAGATGAAGTTTCGCTCACTGCCCGGGTTCAAGCGATTCTCCTGCCTCAGCCTCTGGAGTAGCTGGGATTACAGGCATGCTCCACCATGCCCGGCTAATTTTGTATTTTTAGTAGACATGGGGTTTCTCCTTGTTGGTCAGGCTGGTCTTGAACTCCCGACCTTAGGTGATCTGCATGCCTCCGCCTCCCAAAGTGATGGGATTACAGGCGTGAGCCACCGCACCCAGCCCAAATCTTTGTAAATCAAGAACAGTTCATGTCGATTCAAGATGGTGGCAGCAGTGGCAGTGAACAAAGATGTGAGACTCCTTAGCAGAGAGCTGGCCTGCCTTCCTGATTGATCTTAAACCAGTGATTCCCAGAGGGTGTTCCTGGGCACTCTAGCACTGAGGGATGTTAATGGATGAGGAGAATAAATGTTTTTTCAAATTCATTTGGAAAATGTGGAATTAAAAAAAGTCAACCACATTTATTTGCTTCTAGGAACCTTTAATATGCTACCACATGTTACTTTTTATTCCTTTTTTAAAGGAGTATTTATGGTGTAGGGTTTCCTAAACTTTTTGAGTTTGGAAACTTAAAAAAAAAATCATTGAGTATCTCGTGACAAGTGTTCTGAGAAATATCTCTTGGAAAATAATATCCTAATGCATCCTAATTTATTTTGGATTAAATTCTATTTTAGCATTATCAGTATAAAATTTTCAGGATAAAATAATCGACAGAAAAGTGAAGGATTTATTAAACCAACTTATTTGGTGACATGCAAGCAAAGCCAGAAGGATTATTTTGATTCTTTTGTTTGAATCCGTTGTGAGCATAGACACACTCCTAAAAAAGGCACTGGCCCCATATTTACATTATTTTTCTCTCACTCAGCGACGCGAAGTTGCCTCTGCACTCCACACAATTGGGCCTGGCCTAAATGCTGCCGCTGCCTTGGAGCCTGGTGTCAGTTTGGTTGTCAGTCAAAGCAGATCTTCTGCCATGATGAGAATAAGAAGAATAAATACAGTTCCTGATTTCCAAGTCAAAGACAGTGCAAATTGATATTACACAGTAAAATGCAATGAGATTAAATCAATAACATCTGCAATAAGGCATAATGAAGGTAAAATTATATCTCTGGCTTCCTGAACAGCTGTGAATCTATTTTTAATGATCCTCATTTTTGGCAGTCAGCTAACAACTTCTAAAACGTCCTAGAAATTGGATTGTTAAGCAGATGAGCACGGCAGCGGCTCAGAATGTCATTAATTTCAGCTGCCTTATCCATCTGCATAGGTGAGACAGA